ATTTCTTGCTATTGCGCAATACTGTGCTATTGTGCAATTGAAGATTTCTTGCTATTGCGCAATACTGTCAAAAATTTGAATTTCAAAAATTTTGAAGAAAAAAATGAACCCCCCTCCCCAAAAAAAAATTGGAAAAAAAAAATCCCCCCCCCCCCCCAACCCTTTTGGAGTAATTACCCCAAAAACTCAATCCCAGCCTTCCCTTTATGGTATGGAACCTTGTAGTACAATTTTAGAGAGATCCATACACTAAAACACGTTATTGTCTGGAAACTTGAAAAATGCTTGTTTTTGGCCCCCTTTTTTGCCCCTAATTCCTGAATGTTTGGGGCAATTAACCCCAAACTCAATCCCAGCCTTCCCCTTTGTGATATGGAACCTTGTGGTACAATTTCAGAGAGATCCATGCACTTACACACAAATTATTGTCCGGAAACTACAAAACTGCTTGTTTTTGGCCCCTAATTCCTAAACTATTGGTTCATCTCAAAGTCACATTGAACCTGCTTCACAGATGATTAAACATTTTTCTATTTCACAAGTTGCAAGGTATAAGCAAAGCTGAGTTGTTTTCAGGCAATCTTAATGCATAAGATAAAATACCATAGAATTTAACCTTTTGTAAAATTTTTATAGGAAATATTCAGCTCTTTATATTATCAATACATAAATTATGGAAGAAATTATCAAATGATTTGATATGATTTTCCAAAAGGTTAATTTCTATTAGTAAAGGCTAAATGTTATAAGTAGCATTGTACTTTTTCTGGTCTCCCGTTGGGATCGATCCAACTTACACTTATAAGTGTATTCTCCTGATAAAGACTCTGTTTGTACAATTATGATTTTAGTGCAAAAGCTTGAGAAGGCAATATATCAATGCAGTGGAAGTGTTAAGCAGCAATGTTAAGCTAGCTGAATTCTACTATTTCTACAAAACTGACCAAACTACTGTAAATTCAGATACTGATGGTTTTATTTTAACTTCAAATTAAAATTTTAATAATTGGAACAAACATTCAAGTTTTGTAAGTAATATTCTTTTGCATCACATTTAAGAATTACAGAAATCAATTTTCTATTAATGTAAGTAATTTAAAACTCTGAATTTACATATAATTTGTAAGAGCAATTAAGCTAACAGGATGGATAAAGACAAAAAGTCACCACCATTAAATAAACATTGTATGTATGTTTATCAAAAGCTATTCTAATATGAAGACCTATTATCGTCAATCAGTATAATCACAATATATCTACCTTTAGCGCAAACGCAGTAATACATATAAACGGCTGTTATGCTTTATGACCAACTTATTTATACTGCCAGATATTCTCAATTTCGACATCAAAATCCCCAGTTTACGAAGGCTAAGCTTCAGATACAATATATTTATTTCTATTCTACAGCAAAATAAACAAATCAGTCCATTTCAATTTATTTTTCATGGTACAATTTCATAAAACGAAAATTCCGCGAAATGATGTTATTGTCTTGACATGGCAACGAAACAAGGTAACGTCACAAATATGTTTCCGTAAACAAAAAATCAAATGTAAATACCGGGCGTTTTAAAGCTTCTTGTACGCCTCAGAACGAATAAAATTACATTGGAAGAAAATTTATAAGTGAACAAGAATTCTGAGAGTATTGCATGGCAATACAAAGTCCCCCACCGGGTAAAAATTCATTATACTGGAACAAAATGCTAACTTGTTATATAACTTGCCATGGTGTAAACAAAAAGTAAATATCATGTCAATATCTTAAAGCATGACTAAAAACAGTGTGGAAAACTGATTATATGAATGAATTTTTCAAGTCCAAGGACCATAACTCTGCACAAAATTATTAGACCGAAACAAAAATTTGAACTTGATCTGTAACTTGTCATGATAAAACTAAATACCAATTATCAATCAATATCGTATAAGCATGATGAAAAAAACATTAGATATGATTAATAGTTCTCTAAAATTAGATATGATGTAATACAGTGTATATCTATTTTCAAATTATAACCAAATATAATAGTTCCAAATATTTTCTCTTTCATTTGTCACAAACTTATATATAGATTTGTAACTTATCTATAAAATGTCAACAACTTTTATCTACACAATGTAATGTATTGAAATATATACATAATAAAAATAGATTATCTAATTAAAGGATTTCTCTTCATATATTTTTTTTTTTTATATATATAGCATTCAGAAAATTAGTTTATACTAAATAACTAACAAACCTGCCAAAAAATTCTTCAAATAATTGAACAAAGAATATCTTTTAAAAAATTAGTTATCTCCCTTTGTACAGAAATATGGTTTAAGGTAACATAGTACTCTAACATTAGATATGGTCCAGAGTTATGTCCCATAACTCTGGATTCAATCAGACCGGAACAAAATTTGAACTTGATCTATAACTTGTCATGATAAAACTATATACCAAATATCAAATCAATATCTTCAAGAACGAAGAAAAAAAGTGTGGACAGCTGATTTGCCAGACTGACAGAAGGATAGACAGACGGACAGACAGACGGAGTGCAAACCTAAAGACCCCTTCGACTTCGTCGGTAGGGGACTAAAAATGCGATTAAAAAAAAATAATCATTGAATTATATAATATTACTAATATCAAAATTGGGTAAAAACAGAACAGCAAAAACAGTATCGTATGTATAGGGCTTTCACGGTTAACAAAATTATTGAATTTGTCCTATAAGAATCGAAATAATTCATGGCAGCCGTAGATTTGTTTTCATTTAACCATGGGTTTGGCATTTATACTCGTATTTTACCCCTCGCTAATGCTCAGGGTAAAATAATCGAATATAAATGCCCAACCCATGGTTAAATGAAAACAAATCTACGGCTGCCATGAATTATTTCTTAAATATACATGTAAGCATTTTTGTAAGCAGGAAGGCATGCATGCTTTTAGGTACTTACCTTTTCAAACTGCTTGTCACCACCATGAGATAATAGAAGGAATCCAATAAAGTTGTGTATAAATGAAACTTAAAAGTTTTTTTTCTAAAAGTAAAGAAGGATTAACTTTACAACACAATTTCAACATTATTTATCAATTACTTAATATTCATCCACTTAAATTATTACCAGTATTGAATATGAATATTTCATGTTGTCAATTTCTGCCTCTGTTAGTTTCAAAACGTCTTCATTAACTTCGGGAACAACAGGGGTTCTGTTGTCCATATCTACAGATGCTAATCTGCTGGTTAAGGCATTTGAGGCAAATAAATGCATATCTGTATTTCCTTTATCTATTGATACACAACGGTTTTTAATGTATATGTCTAGATTGTCACCAGTAATTTTTAGTTGTGACTTTTCCTTCAAATAATCACAAAGAGCTGTATGGCTGATTTCTCCTGCCTCTTTTATCAATCTTTGCTTACTGGTTGGTGACAATGTAACACCTACTTTATTCAATCTAGTAATAAGCTATAAAACAAAAATAAAATTGACATATTTCTTTGAAATGATATAACAGTGTTTGGGGCTGTCCCATAATAATAAATTAATCAAACACATTTTGGATGGAAGGCACTTTTATTAAACCCTTCTATGAATAAAAAATTAATTATTTATATTTTTTAATTGTTCATTTTATGTTTGTAAAATAAAATGCTCTGTTGGGCGCAACTTGATACGACCGCAGAGGTCGAACCCTGAACAGTTGGGGCAAGTATGGACACAACATTCAAGCTTGATACAGCTCTGAATTTGGATTGTGATTAAATATTTGACACAGCATAGGTTTCTGACACAGAATGAATGTGGTCTAAGAACTTAAATTTTTTTAATTTACCTATTATGGTCCAATATCCAAAATCTAAATACACAGTTAAATTCAGCATATCAAAGAACCCCAATATTTCAATTTTTGATGACATCAAACCATATCGATATTATTTGCTTTTATATATAAATCAAAATAACCAACTTAAAATGGAAAATTTTAAAGAAAAAAAAGGGGAAAAAATCCCCCCCCCCCCTAATTTTTTGAAGCCCCTTATGATTCATCACCCCCAAACTCAATCCCAGCATCCCCTTTGTGGTATGGTACCTTGCAGTACAATTTCAGAGAGATCCATACACTTGAACACAAGTTATTGTCTGGAAACTAGAAAAATGCTTATTTTTGGCCCCTTTTTGGCCACATATTCCTAAACGTTTTGGGCAATTACCCCCAAACTCAAACCCTGCTTTCCCTTTGTGATATGGAACCTTGTAGTACAATTTCATAAAGATCCATACAATTACACACAAGTTATTGTCCTGAAACTAGAAAAATGCTTGTTTTTTTGCCCCTTTTTGGCCCCTAATTCCTAAAATTTTGAGGCAATTACCCCCAAAATCAATCCCAGCCTTCCATTTGTGGTATGGTACCTTGCAGAACAATTTCAGAGAGATCCATAAACTTGAACACAAGTTATGGTCTGGAAACTAGAAGATTGTTTATTTTTGGCCCCTTTTTGGCCACATATTCCTAAACGTTTTGGGCAATTACCCCCAAACTCAATTACAGCTTTCCCTTGGTGATATGGAACCTTGTAGTACAATTTCAGAAAGATCCATACACTTACACACAAGTTATTATCATGAAACTAGAAAAATGCTTGTTTGAGGCAAATAAATGCATATCTGTATTTCCTTTATCTATTGATACACAACGGTTTTTAATGTATATGTCTAGATTGTCACCAGTAATTTTTAGTTGTGACTTTTCCTTCAAATAATCACAAAGAGCTGTATGGCTGATTTCTCCTGCCTCTTTTATCAATCTTTGCTTACTGGTTGGTGACAATGTAACACCTACTTTATTCAATCTAGTAATAAGCTATAAAACAAAAATAAAATTGACATATTTCTTTGAAATGATATAACAGTGTTTGGGGCTGTCCCATAATAATAAATTAATCAAACACATTTTGGATGGAAGGCACTTTTATTAAACCCTTCTATGAATAAATAAAATGCTTCGCTGGGGCGCAGCTTGATACGACCGCAGAGGTCGAACCCTGAACAGTTGGGGCAAGTATGGACACAACATTCAAGCTTGATACAGCTCTGAATTTGGATTGTTATTAAATATTTGACACAGCATAGGTTTCTGACACAGAAAGAATGTGGTCTAAGAACTTGAATTTTTTTAATTTACCTATTATGGTCCAATGTCCAAAATCAAAATACATGGTTAGATTCAGCATATCAAAGAACCCCATATATTCAATTTTTGTTAAAATCAAACAAAGTTTAATTTTGGACCCCAACTTGGACAAACTTGAAAACTAGGCCCATAATCAAAAATCTAAACACATGTTCAGATTCAGCATATCAAAGAACCCCAAGAATTCAATTTTTGCTAAAATCAAACTAAGTTTAATTTTGGACCCTTTGGACCTTAATGTAGACCAATTTAAAAAACGGGACTTAAAATTAAAAATCTAAATACACGGTTAGATTTGGAATATCAAAGAACCCCAATAATTCAATTTTTGATGAAATCAAACAAAGTTTAATTTTGGACCCTTTTGACCTCAATATGAAAAAATTTGATAGGGGGGCCCACAAATAAAAATTCTAAATGCATGGTTAGATTCAGCATATCAAAGAACCCCATATATTCAATTTTTGTTGAAATCAAAAAAAGTTTAATTTTGGACCCCAACTTGGACCAACTTGAAAACTGGGCCCATAATCAAAAATCTAAACACATGTTTAGATTCAGCATATCAAAGAACCCCAAGAATTCAATTTTTGTTAAAATCAATCTAAGTTTAATTTTGGACCCTTTGGACCTCAATGAAGACCAATTTAAAAACGGGACCCAAATTAAAAATCTAAAAACACGGTTAGATTTGGCATATCAAAGAGCCCCAATAATTCAATTTTCGATGAAATCAAACAAAGTTTAATTTTGGACCCTTTTGACCTCAATATGAACCAATTTGATAGCGGGGCCTACAAATAAAAAATCTAAATAAAGGTTAGATTCAGCATATCAAAGAACCTCATATATTCAATTTTTGTTGAAATCAAACAAAGTTTAATTTTGGACCCCAATTTGGACCAACTTGAAAACTGGGCCCATAATCAAAAATCTAAATACATGTTTAGATTCAGCTTATCAAAGAACCCCATATATTCAATTTTTGTTGAAATCAAACAAAGTTTAAATACTGGACCCTATCTTGGACCAACTTGAAAACTGGGCCCATAATCAAAAATCTAAACACATGTTTAGATTCAGCAAATCAAAGAACCCCAAGAATTCAATTTTTGTTAAAATCAAACTAGGTTTAATTTTGGACCCTTTGGACCTCAATGTAGACCAATTTAAAAAACAGGACCCAAAATTAAAAACCTAAATACACGGTTAGATTTGGAATATCAAAGAACCCCAATAATTCAATTTTAGATGAAATCAAACAAAGTTTAATTTTGGACCCTTTTGACCTCAATATGAACCAATTAGATAACGGGGTCCACAAATAAAAAATCTAAATACATGGTTAGATTCAGCATAACAAAGAACCCCATATATTCAATTTTTGTTGAAATCAAACAAAGTTTAATTTTGGACCCCAATTTGGACCAACTTGAAAACTGGGCCAAAAATCAAAAATCTAAATACATGTTTAGATTCAGCATATCAAAGAACCTCATATATTCAATTTTTGCTAAAATCAAACAAAGTTTAATTTTGGACCCTTTGGACATTAATGTAGACCAATTTGAAAACTGGACCCAAAATTAAAAATCTAAATACACTGTTAGATTCGGCATAACAAATAAATAAATGTGATCAAAGATTTTACAAATCTAATGCGCCATACTGTGCAATTAAAGATTACTTCTTGAAATTTTTCAATATTTGAAATTTGAAAAAAAAATAATATTTGAAGAATAATTCTTTTTAATTTCAGCTGAAATCTGAAATGAGAAAAAAATGGCCCCCCACAATTTCTTTTTATTCCCCCCCCCCCCTTTTTCCCCCAAATAAATTCTTTCCCTCAAGATATGGTCATAATCTCAATTCAAATTTCCAATGGAGTTGGCAACCATAATTACCCATTTAAATTTACCATAGTGCTAACTTAATCTATTTTATAATAGAATTAATAAAAATATAGTGTCAAATCTTTCATATGGATTTTTTTGTAAAAAAAAAAGATGAAAACATTTGCAGATATTTTTACTGGTCTTCCTTTATAAATATGCATTTCTTTAAACATAATTTAAAAGCAGTGTAAGGGAAGTAACCAAAACGTTGTATTTGGATTACCTCCCTTAAACTGTTTTAGATTATCTTTATTGTTCATTAACCATTACTTTATACATAATTTAAAAGCAGTGTAAGGGAGATAATTTCAATGATGTATTTGATTTATCTCCCTTACACTGCTTTAAATTATGTTTTGTACTAAAGTATTTGTCCATTAACCAGGACAACCTTGTTTTTCCCCCTTTTTTGCCCCTAATTCCTAAACGGTTTGAGCCATAACCCCCCAAAGCAAATCCTAACCATCCCTTTGTGGTATGGAAACTTGTAGTATAATTTCAGAGAGATCCATACACCGTTCCACAGTTATTGTTTGGAAACTAGAAAATGCTCATTTTTGGCCCCTTTTTGGCCCCTAATTTCTTAACTGTTGGTACCATAACCCCCAAAATCAATCCCAACCTTCCTTTTGTGGTATTTAACCTTATGGTCAAATTTCAAAAAGATCCATTCACTTAAACTAAAGTTAGAGTGCGAAAACCAATATGTATTCGGACGACGACGCTGGACGACGACGACGACGACGACGACGACGACGACGACGACGCCAACGTCATACCAATATACGACCACAAAATTTTTTTGCGGTCGTATAAAAATTAATTATTTATATTTTTTAATTGTTCATTTTATGTTTGTAAAATAAAATGCTCTGTTGGGCGCAACTTGATACGACCGCAGAGGTCGAACCCTGAACAGTTGGGGCAAGTATGGACACAACATTCAAGCTTGATACAGCTCTGAATTTGGATTGTGATTAAATATTTGACACAGCATAGGTTTCTGACACAGAATGAATGTGGTCTAAGAACTTAAATTTTTTTAATTTACCTATTATGGTCCAATATCCAAAATCTAAATACACAGTTAAATTCAGCATATCAAAGAACCCCAATATTTCAATTTTTGATGAAATCAAACCATATCATTATTATTTGCTTTTATATATAAATCAAAATAACCAACTTAAAATGGAAAATTTTAAAGAAAAAAAGGGGAAAAAAATCCCCCCCCCCTAATTTTTTGAAGCCCCTTATGATTCATCACCCCCAAACTCAATCCCAGCATCCCCTTTGTGGTATGGTACCTTGCAGTACAATTTCAGAGAGATCCATACACTTGAACACAAGTTATTGTCTGGAAACTAGAAAAATGCTTATTTTTGGCCCCTTTTTGGCCACATATTCCTAAACCTTTTGGGCAATTACCCCCAAACTCAAACAATGCTTTCCCTTTGTGATATGGAACCTTGTAGTACAATTTCATAAAGATCCATACAATTACACACAAGTAATTGTCCTGAAACTAGAAAAATGCTTGTTTTTTTGCCCCTTTTTGGCCCCTAATTCCTAAAATTTTGAGGCAATTACCCCCAAAATCAATCCCAGCCTTCCATTTGTGGTATGGTACCTTGCAGAACAATTTCAGAGAGATCCATACACTTGAACACAAGTTATGGTCTGGAAACTAGAAGATTGTTTATTTTTGGCCCCTTTTTGGCCACATATTCCTAAACGTTTTGGGCAATTACCCCCAAACTCAATTACAGCTTTCCCTTGGTGATATGGAACCTTGTAGTACAATTTCAGAAAGATCCATACACTTACACACAAGTTATTATCATGAAACTAGAAAAATGCTTGTTTTTTTACCCTTTTTTGGCCCTTAATTCCTAAAATTTTGAGGCAATAACCCCCAAAATCAATCCCAGCATTTCCTTTGTGATATTGAACCTTGTGGTACAATGTCATAGAGATCCATACACTAACACACAAGTTATTGTCTGGAAGTTACAAAAATGCTTATTTTTTGCCCCTTATTCCATAACTGTTGGTACCATAACCCCCAAAATCAATCCCAACCTTCCTTTTGTGGTATTGAACCTTATGGTAAAATTTCATAGAGATCCATTCACTTAAACTAAAGTTATTGTGCGAAAACCAATGTGTCTTTGGACGATGACGACGCCAACGTCATACCAATATACAACCGCAAAAATTTTTTGCGGTCCTATAATAACTATAATCAATAAAGTGTGAATAGAAATACCTTCAAACCCATGTATAAATAGTTCTGTACTTTTTTGTTGTTAATTATTTCAGTAAATTGCTCTTCGTTGTTGTCAATTGTTATATTTGAACAAAAAGTAGGAAATTTTCCTAAGTATTCTGACTTTTTCGGTTATACTTATTTAAGTAAATATAAAAATTTCCTATAAATTTATAAACAAGAGTGGACAAATAGAAATGTCTCGCCTGTTGTGTATTTCTAATTGAAGTTATGTTGAAAGTAAATGCTATCAGATATAAATTTTAAGCTGTAAATAATAAGATAATGTCGCTGCTGCTGATGCCTGTATGAATGCTAAAGCTGCTGCCAGGCCTGCAGAAGACAACTATCATAGTGTCTTCATACTACTAATTGTATAAGTTATTATTCACTATATGAAGATATGCTGGATAACTGTGGTTAAGAGTGAAATAACTTAGTGATATACCATTGATATTGATTATTGTGATTAATTAAAGATGGCAGTGAAGAATGGAAAAAAATAACATTGACCTATGAACCATGAAAATAAGGTCACGGTCATATGAACCCTGCCAGACAGACAGATACGCCTTACAATCATTCCATACACCAAATATAGTTGACCTATTGCTTATATTTTCTAAGAAACAAAGTTCAGCATTAAAACTTAACATTGACCAATGAGCCATGTAAAAGGGGTTAAGGTCATATGATACCTGGCGGACAGACATAAACACCTTATAAACATTCCATACACCAAATATATTTGACCTATTGCTTATAGTTGAACAAAAATAGACCAAAACACAAAATTTTAACATTGAGCAATGAACCGTGAAAATCAGGTCAAGGTCAGATAAAACCTGCGAGACAGACATGTATATCCTAAAATATTTCCATACACCAAATATAGTTCACCTATTGCATATAGTATGCATAAAAATGACCAAAACTAAAAAACTTAACTTTGACCACCATGAAAATGAGGTCAAGGTCAGATGACACCTGCCAGTTGGACATGTACACCTTACAATCATTCCATAATCCAAATATAGTTGACCTATTGCTGAAAGTATTAGAAAAATAGACCAAAAACAAAAACTTAACATTGAGCAATGAACCGTAAAAATGAGGTCAAGGTCAAATAAAACATGCCAGACTGACATGTACATCGTAAAACATTTTCATACACCAAATATAGATGATTTATTTAAGAAAAACAGACCAAAACACAACAAGAGGCTGTCAGAGAGACAGCAAACCGGATTTTCCTGCAGAGGTCGAACCCTGAACAGTTGAGCAAGTATGGACACTACATTTAAACTTAAAACAGCTCTGAATTTGGATTGTGATTGAATATTTGACAAATCATAGGTTTGTGACACAAAATGAATGTAGTCAAAGAACTGATATATTTGAAATTGGACATTTAAATATGGTCCAATATCCAAAATCTAAGTACATATTAGAATCAGCATATCAAAG